CGGTGGTCCCTCAAGTGGATTTTCAATGAATTCCTACTGTTCAACTTCTTTTCACAGATATGGCACCGGAGGGGACTCGACTTATCATCATCATCATCACCATCTGAGTCATCGTCACTGATCTCTTGTGACTGTTGTTCTTCATCATCACCACCTTCATCCTCACTGCTGGAAGAATGCTGCGAAGACGCGGCCTTGTCCTCCTCTTCCGAACTATTACTGTTCCTGCTGGACTTGTCACATAACAGTTTAGGAAGAATTGACCAGAATTTCAGTATCAGGTCCCTTCCTGCGTTGAGGATCTTCATGATCTCGACGTCACCACCCCTGTCTGGGAAAGAAAATGTCTTTTATAGTCAGACTGGATTGTAAGCTTTACTGCTATTCCTCAGAGGATAGGAAGTTACAGCAAAAATTCAGTATGGGCATGAGAAAGGAAAATCAGCAAGTGATGCAACAACCACATTTATATGAAGGTTCACGAAGGCAAAATTTAAACAAAGGAAGAAAAAAAAGACATCAGCTGTATTCTTAGACCTTTAAAAGCACATAACTGTATAGAGCATGGAACTCTCTTATTAATTGTAACCGTCTCAATATTGGTTCTGTTTTACCTCACTTTACTTTATAATATAAATTACTCAAAAAACCTTTACTGTAAATTAACAGGAATGGTGTTCCTAAGTTTTGTAGCAGCACCTGTTCCTCACCTTACTGCCAAGAGAGACGAGATGAATACTACCCAGATCTACAAGATGAAATTCTTAGGAAAATCAGCGGAACAAGAAAAGAAAGTCAAGAGGGAGGAGGTGGAGTGAATCAACCAGAAATTAATGTCCATGAAAATAATAATATTGTTCCTCCTGTTAATAGATATAATGAATGTAGTAGAACTGTAATAACTAGATCTAAATATGGCAGAGTGTACAAACCAAATGAAAAATATTCTTAAAAGGGAGGTGTTAGATGTGGTAGTAGTTCTGTATCCGGTTATCTGTGTATACTGTTGAACAAGTGTGATGTGATGTAATGTTACTGTGAGATAAGTTATAATAAATACAGTGATATCAGATTCATAAGTGTTATATTATAACATGAAGATAATTAAACACCACCAGCATACAGCTAGGAGAGCTAGAGATCACAGTGCAGTGATAAACAACATAAAAACATAAATTAAATAGTCAGTAATCTATCAAAACCACCAGATGAAGTTGAAAATAAAAATAGTAACAATGAGGAAGCGACCAGCCCACTCTCAGTACCAAAAGAGGACCTCATAACTTGCCATCACTGTGATGTACTTAGACCAAGGGAGGGCAAGGCCATGTCCAGAAACGGGCTAGCCTTATTCCCCTTCTGCAAGTGATTAGCCTGCAGAAAATAAGCTATAGGATGCATGAGAGAGCACATCTCCTCTGCCTCCATACCCTTAAGAAGGACTTTTGCTTATTGTTTGAAGAAAGACGGACATTTTTAATAATCATACAATGATGTGCTAAATGAAAGATTAAGGAGGAAAAAGAGATGTGTTTATTTTCATAAGACCAACAAATAGAGTGTCACTTTCTTTTATTTCATCATCTATGGGATGAAACACAAGTCAGCATAAAGGAGGAATTATGAGATGCAGCAATACAT